GCGGGCGACGAAGGACGTCGTCCTCGCCGCCGTGAAGCGCGACGGCATGGCCATCCACGCGGCGTCCCTCGAGCTCCAGGCCGACTACGACGTCATCCTCGCGGGCGTCGACGGCCTCCGCAGCGAGAACACGTGAGGCGGGCGGTGGTTCGTGGGGTATGCGGGGGGGGTTCCCTGCTAACCGCGACGACGCTCCCCCTCTTACGACGCGGAGGGCGGCGGCCGCGCGGCGGTCGCGCGCGGGTCCCGGGAGCGCCGGCGCGCCGCTTTGCGCCGCGTTCCAAGCCCGCGCCGCGACGCCCGCCCCGCGCCGCGGCCCGCCCCGGGCGGCGCTCACTTGTTCGTCTCGAGGTCGAAGTGGCACTCGGGACAGACGCGGCCGCTGAACAGATACTCCTTCAGATCCGTCTCGAGGAAGCAGTGCTTGCAGGGGAGCTCGACGACCTCGCGGCCGCCCTTGAGGAGCGTGTTGCTGAAGTGGCACCGCACCTTCTCGCCGTCCTCGAGCACCCGCCGCTTGAGCCGCTTCCGCGCGGCCTTGCTGAGGTACGGCGTGTCGATCTCGTACTGCACGCTCCGCTCCGTGTCCACGGGCATGGCGCGGACGCCGCGCGGGCGGGCGGCGGCGGCGCGGCGGTCGACGCAGCCCCCTTTCGGAAGGTGGATCAGGGAGCACACACACCTCGAAGCGGAGTGCACGGTTGCGTCACACAAAAAGCTGGGCCGACATTTGACCCCGAAGACTGAGGCAATGGCCGCGCCGCAGCCGACAATCCACGGCCAAAGCATGAGCGCGCCGCCCCCGGACCAACCGATCAACGCCGCGCGGCACGTGCTCCTCGCCCTCGCGGAGACCTTCGACCTCGTCGCCGGCTACTGCGACGACGGCGGCCACCGCAAGCTCTGCCTCGCGACGAAGGCGACGCGCGCCAAGGCGCTGCGCCGGCTCGTGCTCGTGACCTTCGGCGCCGCCAACGAGCGCGCCTGGTCCCGCGCGCCGGCGCGGAGCCCCGAGGCCGGCGCGCTCGCGGGGCCGCGGTTCTGCCGCTGCGCTCGGTCCCTGTCGGTGGGCGCGCTGCGCGCGCGGATCGGCCGCGCGCTCGGGGGCCGCGACATGGGCGCGCGGAACCTGCGCCTCGCCTCGTCGGACCTCGAGAAGCTCCGGGACGACGGCGCCACGCTCGCGTCGCTCCTCGGAACGGCCGCGGCGCCGCGGCTCGAGGTCCTCGTCACGGAGCGCATCTGCAACTACGACTACGACTCCGACGAGGAGGACGTCCGGCGCACGTGCCCCGGCTACTTCGCGCCCGCCGGCGGCTACGTGACGTCGAACGTCTGCTAAAATCTTTTTCGTAAACTTCAAGATGTTGGTGAGGCCGAGGTGCTGCAGCCTTGACAGCCGTCGACGGCCGCCAGCCCCGGGGTGGGGTCCCCCGGTCCCATGGCCGCGGAGCGGCGCGGCTTCGCGCCGCGGCCCTTCTACGC